CCTCTGGTTTTCGTATTTTTGTGTACTCTTTTCTCTTTTTAATTACTTTATTCATGCGAAAGCACTTATCTGTATTTTTCCTTTTTTACAATTTAAAAGGTATACATGTATCCATATGAGCAACTCAAATCCAGAGAAAAGTATGTGCTTTTTTTCTAATGAAATATGACATTTTTTAATATATGCCTAAATGGTTTCTTTAGATTTCAAAAGTGGTAGTTTTTTCTTTAAAATATGATAATACTTTATTTAAAAAATTTACAAGTTATTGTTATCCACATGCTGAAGCTATGCAGAAATGTGACTAAGCCTATTAAAAAAAAGGTATATATAGGTGCATAGGAGAGCTGACAAGGGACAAGGTTGTGGTGGTTTCTTGGCCACATCCAGCTACTTGGCAGGAGCGAGTAGTTGGACCTGGGGGCTTGGCACCATGGTTGCAGGGGACATCAAGCTCAACTGGCATTAACATACTACACAAAAACATTATTCTACATCCTACAGGTAATTACAAAGTGCTCTGGTGGCACAGTGCCTAAGGCATCTGACCACTAATCAGAAGGCTGGGAGTTCAAAACCACCAGCCATGCCATGGAAGGAAGATAGGGTAATCCACTTCTGTAAAGATTTACCACCTTGGAAACCCAGTGAAGGTTGCTCTGAGTCGGAACCAACTTGATGGCAATAAGTTTGTTTTTTTGGTTTTTATAGGTAATTACCAAAGAAGTTCTGGTGGCATTTGGCTGCTAACCAGAAGGCTGACGATTTAAACCCACCAGCTGCTCCATGGGAGGTCGATAAGGCAATCTACTTCCACAAAGATTTACAGCCTCGGAAACCCAATGAGAGTCAGTATGAGTCAGGATCAACTCAATGGCAGTGAATTTGGTTTGATTTTTAGTTTACAGGCAATTACAGCTGCTCTGTTTTAGACATTACTGCAGTCATCATACGGTATTTTAGATTTAACCCAAAATATAGCTGGTCTTCAAAAAAATATATTTAAAAAAATGTACTAAATCTTTTGGCCACATTTTGTAACCTTCAACTCAAACCGTGTTCTAAAGTTTGAGTATATTTTGACCTTACTGAACCATAGTATTTGGGTAACTAAATTATTTAGTATGATACCAATATATTTATATACTTTATATATGTAGAAGTATATAAAATCTGTTATATACTTACAGATTTTATAGCAGTTACTTTGCTTTTCAAACTTTCAGTGAGTCTTTCATTTTCTTCTTCACAGGCATTATACCCACTATTACCATAACCATAGTTCCCATAATTTCCAGGAGGTACTCCTTCACCTGCATGGATCAGATTTAGAAGCATAGTTTTAGGAAAAAGAGAAGCCACTTTGAAAACTTGATAGTTAGGAAAAGAACCAAAAAAAACCCCTGGGGGGCGTTGCAGACCACACATGCTTACATATTCATGTTAAAAATTAACAGCCAGACAGAAATCAGAACATTTTTGCCATTACCTTCTCTTAATCAAAGAATACTCCATTCACTCCAATATACACTTATTGATTGGCTATTGATTACCCAGAGACACTAAAATACGCACTGATATACAAGGATAGCAAGAAAGCATTCCCCGGTCAATGGAATTATATATTCTAACACAAAATTTAAAAGTGGTAATATCAACTACCACTCTGGGAGCTCTGGGAGCATAGTGGCTAAGGCACTTGACTGCTAACCAGAAGGCTGGCGGTTCAAACCCACTAGCCACTCCTCGGAAGGAAGGTTGGGCAATCCTACTTCTGTAGTGATACTGCCTCGGAAACCCAAGGAGGGGTTGCTATGAGTCAGGGCTGACTCAACGGCACATGACAACAACAACAACAACAATATCAACTAACCACTGAAGAAGTTTGACTGTGAAAGGAAGGTGAGAAAGAGGATAAAATAGAGTGAGAACTCAGAGCAAAAAGAGGCTCCTTTACCTACCTCTTTCTCTTAAATATGAAAGAGTTGAGTGGGGAAGATATAAAATGGGGAGGGAAAAAAAAGAAGCTGAAGCTCTCGAAGAGGGATGGAGTAACTAGTGAACGCTGTTAGTTGGGAAGTTAAGAGGCAGGTTCCTCCATTCAACAAATATCTGAGTGCATACCACATGTCAGATCCACTGTTCTATATGCTACTTTTATGGGGTTTATCTTCTAAGTGTTGACATTTAGAATACAGTAAACCACCACACTGCTAATATAATACTTCATATTCATCAGGCAATCAAACAATAGGTGGAATGAATATAAGAATCAGTTGGGTGTGGGATTGAGGAAAGAAAGCATAATTGAGGGTGTTATTTAACCACAAAAACGTTTGAATTTATCAGTAGATGCCATCAGTTTTCTTAGTAATGGAAGAAAACGTATAATCTGCTAAAGTGGTGATCATTTAGAACAAACAATAAAGAGAACGATGGAGGAAGGTGAGTAGTGCTACACAGGATTACCAGGGAGGTAAGACAAACCTAGCTGATGTAATAAATTGTAATGGTGCCAATCCTCCCAAATATGTAACTTTTCTACAGGAGAGCTCATCAACCTGGGTTAGAGATGCAAAGCTGGATGAGTGGATTGTTCTAGAGTTAGAGGTTTACAGTGTGGGGGCTGAGGAAGAACAGAGCCCTCAATCCTTCTGCAATGCTTGGAAAAAGACTGAAGATTAGGCAGGGCTTGAAGTAGATTTGACAATGAACTGAGTGGGGGATAGGATGATACAGAAACAATTATGTCTCAGTGAATTCAAACAGCAGGCAGAGTGACAGAAAGAGCTGCAAGGACAAGAGATCCTTGAAAGTTGGTAGCTGAGAATGGTTGAGGAATGAATAGGAAGCTCTTTTAAGGCATAGCACAAATTCAACTTCTCTAAAAAGCAAAACAGACTATTCTTTCTTTTGAGTTCCCACAGTACTGACTGTATGTAACACCTCCAATCCTGATGTCGTGTTCTTCTTCTCAAACTATTTGCTTAGCATACAGATTAAGTATGGTGAAAGAATACAACCTTGATGCACCCCCTTCCTGATTTTAAATCATGCAGTATCCCCATCTTCTGTTTGAATGACAGCCTTAGATAAACACTACCCCTGGTCTATGTACCGGTTCTTCATGAGCATAATTATGAGTTCTGGAATACCCATTCTTCATAATGTTACCCATAATCTGCTTTGATCCACAAAGTCAAAACCTTTTGCATAATGAATAAAAATAGCTAAACATCTTTCTTGTACTCTCTGTTGTTAGCCAAGATCCATCTTATACCAGCAATGATATACCTTGTTCCATATCCCCTTCTGAATCCAGCTTGAATTTCTGGCAGTTCCCTGTCAATGTGCTGCTGCAACCATTTTTTAATTATTTTCAGCAAAAATTTACTGATATTAATGATACTGTGGTAGTTAAGTTTGTGTGTCAAGTTGGCTGGGCCTGGCTAAGTGGCTGGGAAGCTGGAGGTATTTATTCCCCATGAGGAGACTGGCAATCAACTCCATGGTGGGCTCTACAAGTAGCTGCTTTAGGGATGTGGTCTTCTTCCCATATATAAGCAGCAGCTTTGGGAATGGGCTCTAGCTCATAGCACACTTGAACCCTGCATGTAGCTGAGTCATTCAGTAGCCTGCCATGCTCTGCCAATCTAGGGACTTTCAATGGACTTGAATCAGTGGCCTGCTGTGTGGTTTGGTAATATCGGGACTGTACCTTTTCGACCTTGGGTTTGTCAGCCTCAGCTGCCTTCACTCTGCCTGAGTGAAGAGATGCTTCTTCTAGTTGCCATGGGCCAGGAGCAAGAGGCAGAGCTAAAGCCCAAGGTTGAGGGGCTTTCACCACTTCTAGAGCCTGGCACTTTGAAATTGGCCTTCTAGCCTCCAAAACTGTAAGAGAATAAACTCCTGTTTGTCAAAGCCATCCCATTTGTGATATTTTCCTGGCAGAGCAGCACTAGGTAACCAAAACAGATACTGTTCCTTAACTTCTACATTCTGTTGGATCACTTGGATCACCTTTGTTTGGAATAGGCACCAATATCAACCTCTTCTGGTCAGTTGGCCAGATAGCTATCCTCCAAATTTCTTGTCATATGACAGTACTATGAGGTCAGAAATTAAGTCTGTTTCAATCATTAGTGCACATCCCCTCTAGCCTCCCCACACACTCTGCAACACATTCAATAAATACATGCTCCTCATTGATGAATAGAATCTGAAATTACTGTCATTCATCTTTTAATGTGCCTTTCTCAAGAACACAGTCCTATGCTTCTCTGAGGGCAGACATACTGCTTCATGCTTCTATGTTCTCTGGGCCTGATACATACTTTATATGCAACAGGCATCTACACAACCTCCACTACCATAAAAACCACAACAAAATTTTGAACGAGTATTTTACAAACAGAGGAGTAATGATGATATACCTCTACTGCCAATATGCTAGCCATGAAGCCTTCTACACATGTGGCTACAGAAGTTCAGACTCACTTGACTAGGCATATTTGTCTCCACCCAGCAATTAAAACTCATTTTAAAAATGCATTTTCACTCCATCTATCAATGATATTCTATACAAACTCTACATAGTATGAATTAAGATCCTTAAAGAAATGGATAATGTCTTCTTCTTTTGTGTGACTTTTGTTGTTGTTGTTATGTGCCATTGAGTTGGACCCGACTCATAGTGACCCCTCCTTGGGTTTCCGAGGCAGTATCACTACAGAAGTAGATTGTCCCATCTTCCTTCTGAGGAATGGCTGGTGGGTTTGAACCACCTGCCTTCTAGTTAGCAGTCAAGTGCTTTTAGGCACTATGGTACCAGAGATGTGGAATATAGTATTTGCTCAAGAAGGAATTACTGATTATATTTAATCATCTTGCAACTTTCCCAAGGAATTTAGTTATAAAATAATGGTGATTCATTTCCTTTGTTTTGCTCTCTTTGCCTAACTTAATTCTAATTTTAGAGCTCTTCCAAACTATTCCATTTATTCAAAGTAGACCTTCTCCTTTTATTTGCTGCCCAGAAATCATTCAGGGCACATTTCTCCTGTTAAACTATTGATCTTTCTTCATACCATCATCCACCAGTGGAATAAAGAAAAAAAATCAAATAAAATGCTAGGAGTTGCTATTTCAAACTTAGCCACTTCTTTTTCTGTGAATTACTGCTTTGAAAACTTGTACAAAAGCCAAAGAGTGTCAAAGACAATCCTCAGCCTTTGTCAACTTAGATAAACACCACCCCTTTTCTATCTATCAAAAGATAGAAGTTTCTATCAATAACTGAGCCAAATCATTTAAGTATTCATGTGAGATATGGTCTTGCATACAAATATCTAGATTCATTATTTAACCAAAGTTTAAAATTCCAAGCTGATATACAATAATACTTTAAAAAGTGAAGCGGTATATATTTAAAAAAAAAAAAAACAAAAAAACCTAGCCCCTCCCACCAAAGTAAATTGTATCATAATATCAACAGTTACCTAAGGAATCACCACTGACCTTTTATCTGGACTCCTTGGTTCTCAACTCTGGCTGATGAAACACCAGAGAAGGGGCTTTAAAACAAAGTATTATTAGAGATTCTAATTTATTTGGTATGCAATGAGTTCCAGGTAGTAATACTTCTAAAAGCTCCCCAGGTGATTCTAATGTACAGTCAGAGTTGAGTACCACTTCTGTAGTCCCTTTCCTGCAATGTAATATGGCACACTATTGCACAAAAACATGCAAAGGGGGACTGAGCACCCATTGATGAAGTCCAAACTCCTTTGTCTGGCACTCAAAGATCTCCACAATCTGGTTCCATGTCCCTTCCTTTAACCAAAGTGGCTTAATTATAATCCCTTAAACATATAATTCACATTCTAATGGACTCAAGGATACAACAAATGAGGGTGAAGATGGAATGGAACAGGACCAGGTAACTTCCTGATGCTGTACACAGGATCTGTGCTGACGCATAACACCAGTTACCAACAACCCTACACTTTTTGGGTTTTTATTGGCCAAGCCCTCATCTGGAATTAAGGTATTTGACTGCTAACCAGAAGGCTGGCAGTTCAAACCTACCAGCCACTCCTTGGAAGGAAGGTTGGGCAATCTACTTCCGTAGTGATACACCACTTCAGAAACCCAAGGAGGGGTTGCTATGAGTCGGATCCAACTCAACAGCAGTGAGTTTGGTTTGTTTGGTTTACCCTACATTATTCAAGGTTTAGTTTAAGTTCCTAAATCTCCACAAAGTACATAGTATCTCTGAAATCCCTCAGACATTCACCACCTATAGAACGTAATATAGGATTTGACCATTACATATATACCTGCCACCCAATATTATAATTTATCTTTGTACATATTTCTATTCCTCAGGTAGACTGGAAGATTTTTCTGGGGGAGGAGCACAAACAGGGTCACAATAACTATATACCTGGATACCTAGGGCCTACTCAAGTATACAATAAATGTTTGTTGTTGTGAATGATGAAAAAGAAAATTTTTTAGACACACAAACTACTCTTCCTCATAATTATTTCTTTTTCTCTCTTCAATTTACCTTGCCAACTTTTTATTTCCAAGTATTCACAAAAACTACATTTTGAAAAACGTTTCTCATGCTACAATTTATTAATCAATGAACAAGTTTATAGATACTTGCCACTTTTATTTAATTATCTGACATGCTTTTAGAAAACCTTTTTTATTTCCCCCTTTTTCCACCTTATTATATAAAGCTCGAGAAAGACAACATTATGTTTTGAAAAAATGCTTCATATATTTTCTCACTATATAGCACACAGTCATACTGCACACTGACTTTGCAGGGTTTTTGCTTTTTATTGTATTTTGTATTGTCACTTGATAGACAGCTTCAGAACCAGAAAATGTGTTCTAATCACTGTGTATTATAAAACCAAAAAAAAAAAAAAAACCAGACTCACAGCCATCTAGTCAACTCTGACTCATAGGGACCCCATTGGGTTTCCAGGGCTGTAGATCTTTAGGGAAGTAGATTGCCCTATCTTGCTTCCACAAATGGCTGGTGGGTTTGAACCGCCAGCCGTCTGGTTAGCAGGCAAGTGTCTTAGCCACTAGCCCAAAAAATATCCATGTGCCTAATTTACACCGGCTTGGTATACCTGCTTCCTAAGGCAAAATGTCAAAAATAAATGTTTATTCATTAAATTTTACCACACTGTACTGACTGATGAGTGTAACAAGGTTCAGATAAGAAATGCCCTAGATAAAATCACCTTTGACCCTGATATTACATACCAGGGCCTTTAACAGTAATGACATATACATTTTACTTTCGTAACTCACTGTTTACTGGACTAACAAGATCCTTATTAGGATCTTATTAGCGTGCTTCGCGCACAAACCTAACTTTTCAAACTTCGTTTCTGAGAAAAATAGATTAAGGGCCAGTACGGAAGGAGAAACCGAGGCCAGACTTTGGCAAATTCAGTAATTCCCAGAATCACGCTCAGTCAATAAGACTTAAAAAAAAAAAAAAAAAAAAAACTCGACTATCCAGTTGTTACCTGAATATACTCCACTCCCCCGTCCTCAAGTATTGTTTCTAACCTACCATCCAAACTGGGTCTGATTTAAACTTAAGGAAACCAATAAGGTCTGGGACAAATGGTATGTTTCCACTTGACACGGTGTCCAAACGTCCCCTCCATACATCCCGCTTTCGGTCCCATATGCCAATGTCTTAAGATCGTCCCACTTCCTCCCACGCCCCCACGCCCAGCATGAGTCCTAAGTCCCCAAAACTTCGAACCTCATCCCTCTTCTTACCCAGGCCTGCACGCCTCATCCTGCCAGAGGAAGGAGGGTAAAGGCGGGAAGGGGGTAGGAAGAAAGGGGCCAGGGAATAACCCAGACCGCGTCTTCAGTACCACTCCAAGATCCGGCGGAACATCAACTTCTTCCAAAGCGCCACGACATCAGTGGAGTCCAAACACCGCGCTGGCTGATGGCGTCAGCCGGGCACTTATTGGCGCCCTGTGCGCCTTGAATAGCATTCTAGGAAATGTAGTTCGCCGCCACCATGAGTAGGCGTGGTGTGATCTTCCGGCTCCCAAAGTCCAAGGGTCTTCTGGAAAAGGGACCAGCGCCTTAGGGACAGAGACTGGTTCTCGACTGCTGTTCTACCAGCCTTCTGGAGCTTTCTTTCAGCGTGTTGCCCCCGAATTTAACCTGTAGATTTGCTTCTACCGGACGACAGAATAGTTGACATCTTTCCTGTTTAACCCCTTACTCCATCTCACTTCCAAAATCAGTTTAGGGAAAGTCAGAGAAAACTTTGTTCAAGTTCTTATCTTCCAAATAAGTAATCTGAGACCCAAAGAAGAGAAGGCAGGCGGTAACCGGTTTGTGCCAGGTCACCCACTAAAGTAGAAAGAACCTAGTCCCATGGAGTAAGTCCTACTCGGATAGTAGTGGAAGATTAGTATCTGCCTTAAAGCTATTTGTGCAAAATATGCACCAAAACTATTTTTATTAAGTTATTAACCTGGGAAATAAGTTAATTCAGTAGTGTTTTGATAGAAAAAAAGTTTACATGAAAAAGAAAGTAAACCACCATTCCCTAAAAGCAATAGAATTAAATGAAGATTCAATCAGAGACAATTGCTATAGCAAATAAATGCTAAAGATTCTCCCCCCAAAAGTGATGGCAAGACTTCTCTATTTTATTTAGAATCAGTGACATTCTATAATCAAAACAGAGTGAAACAACTACAATAGAAATAACCAGAATGTTGACACAATGTAGAGAATGTCACTGACCATTATGTTTAGAAACTAGAATAGGTGCAGGTTTGCTATGTATAATTCACTAAAAATAAACCTAATTTTAAAAAGTCAGAAAAACTATCTTGCTTAAAGAAGGCTTACTCATATAAATATCAAAATAATTGTAATTAAAAAAAAAAAAAAAACCCAGATGCCATGTTTACTAAACAGATGATTTAAATGACATAAAACTTCTCCTTTTATAAACTTCTTTCCTTTCTAAAATACATGGTATGGATATAAGAATGTTGTGTGCTGTCAAGTGGGATCTGACTCATAGCAACCTGTCCTTGGGTATCCGAGGCAGTATTACTGTGGAAGTAGGTAAAAGTGTATTAAAAATATAACTCCAGACGGGCAAAGCCAGTTAATATTGAATTTGTGATGTAAAATTCCAAATATTGCTTCCATTAAAAACAAACAGCCAACTAGCAATCATGGAGTCAATTGCAACTTACGGAGACCCAGTATGTGTCAAAGAAGGATGTGCTCCATTATTGTTGTTGTCATCGTTACTGGGTGCCTTCCAGTTGACTCTAATTCATAATGATCCCTTGTGACAGAGTGGAACTGCCCCACAGAATTTTCTTGGCTGTAATATTTACAGAAGCAGATTGCTCCCGCAGAGCCACTGGCTGGGTTCAAACTGCTACCCATTCAGTTAGTTAGCAGTCAAGTGCTCTTTTGTACTTCATTAAAATAAAAAGAAAAAAAATTTCCAAAGAGTGGATTCTGACTTATAGGTACTACCAATTCCAAATTAGTATGATCTAATCTGAGATTTTGTGTCCAAAAAATTGGGCCAAAAAGAATTATAAATGCAACCAACCACAGTTGGTAAAGAATCCCACAGGGAATTTTTTTTTTTTATCATTTTTAAATGTTTTCTGTTCTTTTTAAAATTAAAATACACATTTTTATTAATTGAAGGCCAATAAAGTTATTGGAGATGAATATCATTTAGAATTTTCTCTATTCTCATGGGTTAATCTTGCAGAAAACATCTGGTCTTTGGAGATCTTTAGGAAATGAGTAACTAAGAATGGCTAAAAATTGTATTACATACTCCTTCTAGTAATCACAGAAGGAAGAACATGATCAGGGAATGTCTGAATCTTGGTGCATAATTTGACATTCTCTTCTTTTGTTCATCTCCTTCTGTCCTGCCTCATTGTGCCCAAATTTCAAAACCAATCCAAGGGAAAGCACACCAAGCTCTCAAGATTAGCTAAATAAACATTAAACAATTTTCCAGTTGTGAAGAAAATTTGGTACCTCATGCATCACACTTTCACTTTAAGAAAATCAAGTAGCTCTTGATTGGCAAATAGGCTGTGGAACAGTGGTCCAGTGGGTTACTCAGTATGGCTCTTCTCGCCATGGTCTTTGTGGCACCTACAGATGACTGGGTGGAATTATGTAAATGTGAGGTTCTTGTGGTCTACCAAGGGGATTGGATAGCTTGTTAGCAACGTAAGTAAGATACATGGCATCCCTGCGGGGGTGGGATCATGGAAATAAGGTGTGTGGAACCCTAATATGGGAATGGTTCAGTTTTGTCATTCCACTAGGCTTAAAATGAGCCCTCCCATAGACAGAAAGGGGGATCTCACTGCCATCAAGAGAAAAGAGTGGGAGGTGGAGTGGAGTACATACTTGGACCGAAGATCCCTGCGCTTGTCAGAGAGAACCCAGAGAGGCTGGCTGAGACAATGGCAGAGAGACTAGCAGAGAGATGGGGACAGTAGAGGAGGTAGAACCAATAGACTGATATGACATAGAGCAGTGGGCTTGCTAGCCCATGGAGCAAGAAAGCTGAATACCTTTGGGCAGGAGGCTTGATGGTGGAGTAGGGTACATCTAGGTACCCCTATTGGCAGAGCTAAAAGAGTTTTGCAACACTAATCCAAGCAGGCTAGAGGCCAGGCTGAGAAGCCAAGGGCCAGAGAGGCATGCCTGAGAGCATGACTGAGAGAAAACTGTTCCAATTCAAGAATTGTATCCTGAGAATTCCTGAACCTGAATTGTAACCTGTTTATTTCCCTAATAAACCCCATAATAGTAAGTATTGTGTATGAGTTCTGTGTGGCCATCATAATGAATTATCCAACCCAGCAGAGAAGTAGTCGGTGCCATGGGAGGGACGCTTGGTGTCAGAGTTGATAAAAAGATTGGAAAGTGGCAGGATTTATGACTTTCACCTCATGGGCATCAGCCTCAGGTTGTTGTGTTGATCCTTTCTGTTCTCTCTACTAGATCTAGAGAATGTCAGAGGAGGACGCTGCCATGCTGTTTTTCTAGGAACAAAAATGAATTTGTAAGTCAGTTGTTTGGTACTCAAAATGCATTTTCCCCTGGACACTGGAATACTGGTCAGGTTTCCAACCCAGGCCCGACAACACATGGCTATTGATGAGCCTATGTTGTCCAATAAGTCTATATAATCTACACTCCAGCTTAAATACTATATATTATCAGTGAAAATCAGCAGAAAACATAAAATGTTGTAACCTTCATGATAAAATAAAGCAAAACCGTTAAAGAGGAGATAGAATTTGAAAATATATCTATATTGGTTATATTAGTTTGAGATACAAGGAGCTCTGGTAGTGTAGTGACTAAAGCATTCAGCTACTAACCAAAAGGTTGGCAGTTTGAACCCACCAGCTGGTCTGGGAGAAAAATAAGGCAGTCTTTTTCTGTAAAGATTTACAGCCTTGGAAACCCTATGAGGGTAATTATGAGTCAGAATTGACTGGATAGCAGTGAGCTTGGTTTGGTTTGAGTTTGAGATACAATCAGTTTTGCTTAAAAGTTTTTAAGACTGAAAACAAAAACTTTCGAGGACATTTCAAAGAATCACCAATCTGACCTTCCTTTTCCATAATTCAGGGGTATTACCAGACTAATGTGATTACTTCTCAGACATGATTAGTAAAAATGAAACATACAATTTCAGCCCAAAAGTCTTCAGCAAAGTCAGCTACATAATTTGTGGGACCCAGTGCATATTGGAAAAGCAATGCCCCTTGTTCAAGAAGCAGAAAAAGTAGATGAGTAAAGGTATTAAAACGTCAAGCTTTTTCTCCTGCAATCTCTCTCTCCTAACTTGTCATGGAGTTTTTATTTGCCGTTGAAAGTCTTTCCAAGTAAAGAAAAATAAAATTTAATTATTAGCATGAATTTTACCATCCATCTTTTTATAGTAAATCCCAGTTTTAAATGTAAATATAGAAGCATTTAACTGATACATGGAATCACTAAAATTACACAATTACTATATATTAGGTCACATATGTATTTATATTTTGGTCTTATCAGAAAAAAAATAGAAATGCCACACAAAAACAATTTGTTTTTGTTTCACATCTTGAAACATACATATTTTACCAATACTCTCTCCATTCAGCTTATTAATGTTTTAGGAGAGGTTGAAAGCATAAAGAACTGTCAGGTGACCTATTGTTCCCTTTCCTTCTATGTTGTCATTTTCAATGTAACTAGTTAAAAATACAAGGAAATAAGGTAGGTAAGGAAGATAATTTTAAAAACATTTGCAGCAGTACATCAACAGGAAACTGCCATATACTCAAAGAAGATTAAGAGGAGAATGTGGAATGTGGGATATCATGGTTGATGTCAGATAGATCTTGGCTAAAAGCAGAGAATACCAGAAAGATGTCTACCTGTATTTTATTGACTATGCAAATTCCACTGTGTGGAGCATAACACATTATGGATAGCATTGTGGAAAATGGGAATTCCAGACGTAGTGCCTAAGGCATTTGACTGCTAACCAGAAGGTTGGCTGTTCAGACCCACCAGCCACTCCTCGGAAGGAAGGTTGTACAATTTACTTCCGAAGTGATACTGCTTCGGAAACCCAAGGAGGGGTTGCTATGAGATGGATCCAACTCGATGGCAGTGAGTTGTTTTTTTTTTTTTTTTTGAGAAATTGTGCTCATGCAGAACCTGTGCATAGACCAAGAGGAAGTCATTCAAAGATACCAAGGGGATGCT